CATGGCAACCCTCCAGCAGAATCATCAAAACACTTTTCATGCTCACAATTGTACCAGACGAAGTGCTAATTCTGAGCGAGGCAGCAGCAGTTGGTAGGACGCTGAAGTCACAGGCTCCCTGCCCAGGGCCCGCTGGGGGCTGGGTGGGCTCCGGCGGAAGCTGAGGGTGCGGCTAGAGGCAGGGCCACCCTGAAGAGGCCCTGTGCTCACCTGCCAGAGACTTTGTGTTTGTTGTTGTCCCTTCCCTGCTTTTTATGCCACATGTGCATCACACACACACACACACACACACACACACACACACACACTCTCTCACACCCTGTCTTGAATAATCATTCAGTGCCTGAGCCCTGCAACCCACGCTGGGGAGACTTCCGGGTGAGGTGGGGTGGGGGACACCCTGACCAAGGCTTCTGCAGCAAGAGGCCTGGCCCAGGGTAGCAGAGCAGCTGCAGGAAGGGTCCAGACCCTCTTACCCACCCTGGGAAGAGCAGAAGGGGACTTATGAGCCTCCCTGATCGAGTGCTTCCTGCCTGGACCTTCATCCTCCAGGCCTCCAGGAAGCATGTGCCTCCTGTGAATAGGTCCCCTCACCCTGCATCCTCCCGAGGATCGGAGGGGCCCAGCCAATCCGAGTTGGGCCTCCTCCTGCCACCCTATGGCTCAATGGGAAGCACTGGTTCAAGGCCACTGAGAGCAGGGCTGTGGGACAGACAGCACAGCCCAGGTGGGCGTCTGAGGTGAACAGGACTTTCTGAGTCAGGCAGACTGGCTGGGACTGCCAGCTTCAGCCCTCAGACTTGAGGTGACCCTGGTAAACCACCACCACCGAGGCTTGTCTGTAAGGTAGGATGACACTAGGATCCCCTACCAGGACTCAAGAAGTTTGCTTTGGATGAGCTGGTGTAGCCAGAGCACATGGCACAGAGCCAGGCATGGGGTAGGTGTTCAGCATGACATTTCTGTGTCCTCCATAGACCCAGGGTTGCAGCCCACTGAGGAGGACTAGTTTGCACCCCCTTTAAGGAACATCTCCCACCTGGGAGTGGCCAGGTGAGGCGTGTGCTACAAAAGCAGACACTGAGCTCTCCCAGAGCCTCTGCAAACTCAGCCAGGACCCAAAACCCCAGGTCTTCCCCCATTCCCACCCCCTGCTTGCTGCAGAGCAGAAGGGCACTGAGGAGGATGAATTGCAGGGGTCTGCGGAAAGCATGATTGACACTCCTGAGTCCCCAGGGCCACCTCTGGGCATTGGTAGCAACACCCCAGAGAGGCTGGAGTCCTGGAGACAGGACTTTGAGCTCACCGTGGCCATTCAGCTTCCTGTTTTAAATTGTGAGTCAGGCAGGGAGGCATAAGCCACTGAAGCCCCCAGATGGCCTGTGCAGCAGTTCACTGGAGCCTTTCCCTGCCATCTTGTCACCAGGGAGGGTGCTGGGAAGGCGGAGTGTGAGATCATGAGTGCAGAAGGAACTTCCATGTCATGGTTCAGACATGCTGGGCACTGTGCAAGGTGCCTCCGTGCTTTGCCACTGGCTTCCGGGGCACAGCTGACGCTGTCCAGGTGTGAAGATGATGGGAGTGGAAGAAGTCCGTGGCTGGGCTCGGGATAGACTCCAGGTGTGTGTTCTCCTAACCTGACAGTGGCACTTGGCTGGCTCCTTCGCGTAGTGAGGTACAGAAGGCAGCAGGACAGGGGACTCTGGGCAGCATGGGAGACCAGACCCCATCCTCCATCACCGCCTGGGGTTGGGGCTGAGCCTGGGCTCATAGCCTTGTGCTGCTAGGCAAGTGCCCCAGTAACCTGCATCCCCAGCCCTCATAGCCATCTTTCAGGGGTGGTTTCAATCTCTCCCAGCACCCAGCTCCCTCCCCTCTTCCTAGAGGCCCCTGGCAGCAGGGCCCCAGGCCAAGGATGATCTTATGGCTAATTTAGGATGCTTGCTGTGAAGCATGGATCTCTTTTTTCTATTTTCACCACCCTGGGCGAGGACTGGGGGCCCCCGCCTCCAGGGGACCAGAGAGGGGTGACTTAAGGTGCCTGTCTCCCTGGCCTGGGAATTTGGAGCCTGGCGGAGCTGTGTGTGCTGCAAAAGATCCTTGACAGAGATGTTGTAGCCCCCTTGCTGGCCTGTTAGGGGCCATGGGGCAGGACAAGCCCCTCTGCGTGCCAGGTGCATCCAAGGTGCCAGGAGAGGCAGTGGCCAATGCTCACAGTCCAGCAGGGGAGGCAGGCAATGCGGAAACCAACAAACAAACGTGAGGACCATTTAGATAGTGATAAATACGCTACACAGAAAAGGGGGACAGAGTGGCTGAGTGGCCAGGGAAGCCTGCAGATGCCATGGGGGTGGGGTTGGGGGCGTTGTCGAGCTGAGACCTCTGCAGGCAGAAGGGCAAGTGGCTCGTCCAGGCAGGGCCAAGCAGTAAGTTCTGGTGCAGCCAGCCAGGACCTCACTGGATTCACATTCTAATGTTCTCCCTCCTCCTACAACCCTCCCTCTCTAGGATCCTGACATGGTCTCTGCGTTACCCTCCCACCTGTGGGACCCTGCTGCTCTGGGTGCCTGACTAGCTTGTCCTCCTGCTGCTGTAGGCCTTTCCCTGTCCTCTTTGTGGGAGGTGAGTCTTCACCCAGCCCTGCATTTCGGACACTGTCTACACCCTGATGGCTCCATAACTTCTCCTCCATCCCGAAGCTCTCCGGAGTTCCCATGGCTCTTGTCCACCTGGATGTCTCATGGTGCTCCTAGGACAAGGCTAAGGTGTTATAATTAAAAGGGCCCAGATCACAGTAGTCTTAAAACATTTAGCTAATTATTCTCTCATCGTTCCAAAGAAAGAGTTTCAAAATGGTAGATGGCTCGGCTCTGCATGCCCTCGTTAATGGCAGCACTTCTGTCTTTAACATGAAACTTCCGAGGTCTCTTCATTATCCTTCTTTTAGCCACAGATGAGGGAAATGTGGGTGTCTTCAGCAAGAACTTCCACTTGAGATTGTGCCTGTGAGGGTGTTTCCAGAGACAATTGGCATGTGGCACAGAAAACTGAGGAGGGAACCACCCCTGAATTTGGGCAGCACCACTCAATAGGCCCGGGCCCCAGATGGAACAGAAGAGGAAGGAGGAAGCCTATCTGCACATGCTCTTTACCTCCCTCTCTGCCTCCCAGCTGCCTTGAGGTAAGCAGCTTTCCTCTGCCACGCCCTTTCACCGTGATGCTTCTGACTCACCACAGGCCTAAAAACAATGGATCTAGCTTACCATGGACTGACATCTCTGAAACCATGAGCCAAAATAAACCTGCTTCCTTTAAGTTCATTTTCTCAGGTATTCTGTAACAGCAACAGAAGCTGAGTAACACAATATGATCTGTTTTCCAAATCATCACACATAATGTTTGCAGTAAATATTTTCTCCCAGCACAAGAGTCACCAGCTTTCTGTCCTCCAGTATCTGTTTCTCTAGCTCACCCTCAGTGAGGCGCTATAACCATGGCAGTTTCGCACTCCTGGGACCAATTTCAGTATTAGAGTTTTGCTAAGCTGCTGTTACAAGGAACTCCAAAGTACAGTGGGTTTTAAATTATGGAAACTAAGGCCCAGGGATGTAGCTTAGCAGCACTGCCTGGCAAGTGCAAGGTCCTGAGTTCAATCCCCAGTACTGGAAAAAGCAAAAAACAAAAGACTATGGAAATGGAATCGTCTCTCGTCAATATAAAATTCGGATGTATTTCAGGCTTCATCCAGGTGGGCAGTGGGTTTTGATAGACACCCAGCAGATGCCACAGAGGACCCCTCCCCAGCCTTCTCTCCCCTGAAATGTCCCCCATTAGTCAGTCTAACACCTGCTCAAGCACAGACACAGAAATCAGCCTTGAATCTTTCCCCAGCCTCATGCTTTACTTTCAGGCAGACCCCAAATCTGGCCTTTCCTTGTATCTCCATGGCCGCCACCCTATTGTCTCCAGAATCCTGAATCTGACCCAGGTGCTCTTGTTTGTGTCTTTACAGCCTGACCCTATCCCACTAGAATGCCCCTTTCAGGAGGAGGGGACTTTCTCTTCCTCCTCCACTCCCATTTCCTTCCTGAGCCAGTTCACAGTGGCTTTTGCACAAACCTTTGTTGAATGGATTCGCAGGGAATGGAGACCACATCCCGTGATTTCCTTCACAGCCCGTGGCCCTGTGGGCTGTGGTCAAGGCAGAGCCCGGGCATGCAAGGGGGGGAGGGGGGGGGCTGAGCTGGGGCTTTGACAGCATGGTCTCTCTGTCCAACTCACCCGGTTCCCTGCATTGCTAATGGCCTGGTACTCACCCATCAGGGCCTCCCTTTTCCACATGGAAAATTGAGAGAATACTAATTGCCTGACAGGGCAATTATGAGGATGAAGCAGGATAATGTATGTAAAGTGGTGCTCACTGCCTGGCTGGGAGTGAAGCACTCCAGATGGTAGCTATTATTATTGTTGTTGTTAGTGCCGTAGCCAAAGTGTCATTCTTCAGTGGAGAATGGGGGTTCCTGGGGGGCTTAGGAGGGTAGTGAGGAGACAGAGAAGACATCCAGAAAAGAAAAGAACCGGTGTGTGTGTGTGTGTGTGTGTGTCTGTGTGTCTGTGTGTGTGTGTGAGAGAGAGAGCGCGCGCGTGCTCCTTGGAAGAGGTGGTCAGGATTCAGAGAAGCCCGCCCCTTTTTCAGCTCCGGGGAGCTGGGTGCCCTGGCTCTGCCTGCTGCTAGGAGAACCCCGAGTAGGAGAACCCCGAGCCGAGCTGCAGCAGAGTAACCAGCGCCTGGACTGTGAGCCCCTGGTATTAGGGGGCAGGGGAGAGGACCACTCGGGTTGGTGCAGACTCAGTGACTCCCTGAACCTAGTGCCGGCGCGACACTGCTGATCCGAGGACCCCAGTGGTCTCCAGCCTCGGATGCTCCCGGAACCGCGCGGGCGTGACCCCCCTTCCGGGGCCGGGTTGCGGGGAGGGGGGTGAGGGAGGAAGGGGCCGTTACTTTCCCAGAGCGGCGGGGCGACGTCAGGCGGAAGGGCGCGGGGCGCGCACGCTTTAAATGGCATTCGCTGTCATCCGAGCTCGCGGCGTGTGGGCAGGAGCGGGCTATATAAGCGGCGAGCCGGGCCCCCGCGGGGCAGACAGCGACAGCAGCGGTGGCGAGCGTGTCGGAGCGCAGCGGAGCAGTGCGCCCGGAGCCCCGCGCCCCCGACGGATCCGCCCTCTCGAGGAGCCCCGGCCCGGGCCCGCGAGGGCCGCCGCCACCCGGCAGCAGATTTGGATCCCCCGCCTGGCGAGCCCCAGGCTGCTGCCTCCCGGGAGGCCCCGGCGCAGCGGCCGCCCCCAGAGAGCCCCGCCGCCCCGCCGCCCGGGCCCTCGGACGCCGGGGACACCGGGGACGCCATGGCGGCCGCCAAGCCCGGCGAGCTCGCAGGCGTCTGCTCCAGCTACCAGGCGGTGATGCCGCACTTCGTGTGCCTGGCCGACGCGTTCCCGCAGCCCGTGCGGCCCGCCAAGCTGACCAAGGGCAAGGGCCGGCTGCGGCGGCCGCGCCAGTCCCGCTTCAAGACGCAGCCGGTGACCTTCGACGAGATCCAGGAGGTGGAGGAAGAGGGGGTGTCCCCCATGGAGGAGGAGAAGGCGAAGAAGTCGTTCCTGCAGAGCCTGGAGTGCCTGCGCCGCAGCACGCAGAGCCTGTCGCTGCAGAGGGAGCAGCTCAGCAGCTGCAAACTGAGGAACAGCCTGGACTCCAGCGACTCCGACTCAGCCCTGTGAGCGGCGCCACCCTCCGGGGACCGGCGGGCGCACCCGGAGAGACCCGCGCCCGGAGACCCCTTGGCGGCGCTCTCCCCAGCCAGGAGCACGCTCGGGGACGCCGGGGAGGGAGCCACTTTCTTTGCCCTTGTAAATGTTTATTTTTTAACTCTTTCCAGTGCGAACTCTGCGGTGAGTGTGTGCGGGAGGCGGCCCGTGCCGAGTCTGCCCGGTGTCGCCAGGGTCGCCGCTCCACGCCCTGTAGCCCTCTGATGGTTTGCAATTCCGATTTTGCACACCGCTCCACCGTGCCCCCCAGCGCACACCCGTCACACTCACCCCAACACACTCGCTGAACACTTTTATAATCGTTAAACGGGCGGATGGGACCTGGGGCACAGCGCGGCTGCTACCGCGGCCAGAGGATTGATATTTATTTTTGCATTGCAATTGCTGAAGGCGTTTATTTAATGATCTTTTTACTTGGATATGTCTGTGAGGCTCCCGAGTGGAGATAAATAAAGTCAATATATTTACACAGTGCATTTCTCCGGGGTCTTAACTTCTTGAACCTTTGGGGCCCAAACTCCTAAGACGGGGAGGTAAGGGACGCTTCGGCGAGGACGAGGAGCCGGGGAGGCCCTAGCGGAGGCGACTCCACCAGCGTCAGTCCCGGGGCACCAGGTCGCGCCCGGGTGGGCGGTCCATGACCTGCGCCCCCAAGTGGGTCCACACCTCGTCCAGGGCGCGCCTGCCACCGGGCCTGTTCTCCCCGGCCAGCGATGGGGACCGGGTGAAGCCTCTGGCAGGGCAGAGGCGGCGCCGAGATCGAGGATGGAGAGCGCCCTCCGCGGCGCAGCTGACCTCTCCGAAGTGCGGGGTCAGGTCCTCGCGCCCCACTCGTCCTGCACCCTGTCCTGGCGGCCAGGGGGAGGGGAAGTTGCCGGAGCCAGCAATGGGGACCCCGGGCCAGGATATCTGGGCGGTGGGACCCGAGGGAGGGCGAAAGTGTGAGAGACCTCGCAACCCGCGCGCTGACTCAGCGCGGTGCCCGGCGCCCCTGAGCCGCCGAAGCAAACCGAGGCTGCTCCTGTCCTTGGGACACTTCTTTCGGACCTTCTGGATGCCCTTCGGGGTTCCGCAAGAAGGGCGGGCTGCGTCTTTGGCCTCAGCATTTGGGATCGAGTCCCCGCCCCCCGCCTCTGTTTACAGTCCGGCAAACTCGCTCGAGCCGATGGCCACGTGGAGAGAAGCCACACGGGGCCCAGTGCTCTTTCCGCCACAGGAGTCTGTCTTTCCAGGGCTTTTCAGCAGCCCCTCCTATCCCTCTCTGCACCCTAAATCATCTGGGTTAGCAGGGTAGCAGTGTCGCCGGGCAGTAGGTATCGATCAGGGTAAAACATGGCACTGGCTGAGGACGGCCTTCCCATACCGAGGTCCCCTCCTGAACCCCGCTTCGCCCTTCTCCCTCTTCAGGTAGTCAGTGCCCTCCTCCCAGTGCATGCCACACACGCACATGTGTGTGTGTCCCCAGCAGAGGGTCCGGTGTGTCCTTCTCTCCTTACACCCCACCTCTTGAAGGCCTGGGCTCAGCAGAAAAAGGGAGCAGAGGAAACAACAAAAGAACAAAAATAGAACCTAGGGCCTGAGAGGATGTCCTCCCCACTGGCTCAGGGACGCCAGGACAGGCCTTGGCCTTGGGTGGCTGGGGTCTTTGGCCCCTGTCCCAGCCCCTGGGAGCAGCCCTATCATTGCAATGGCTCCATTGTGGTGCGGAGCTGACAGGAAGAGCTGCCAGGAGGCCCTTCGCTGCCAGGGGCGCACTCCCTGAGGCAGCTGTGGGTCCCTGTTCTCTATTTCATCGCTGCAGCTGCAGCTGCCGGGTGGGGCTGGTTTGAGCTTGGGGTGGGAGGCCGGGGCCAGATTTCCCAACTCCCTCCAGTCCAGCCCTGTTCTCGTCTCTTCTCAGAGTCTAGCCAGGGCCTTCCAGGCCCTCACTTCTGTCTGCCGCCTCTCCTTGTCCCCTCTTCAGCAGGAGCCCTTGCCTTTACTCTCTGAGGCTCCGGAAGACACAGCCCTAACCAGGCTGGCCTGAGGGTCCTCACAGGGGCCATGCAGGGACCCTGTCCCAACCCTCTGATTCCCAGAAATGTTGTGTTCAAGTGAATTAAAAGGCAGGGAGGGAGCTCAGCGCCCAGTTTACCTACTTCTTGGTTTGTTTTAAAGTGCCAAAGAAGTCATTTGTACACCCAGCACCCAGAGATAAACAGGTGAAGATTTTGAAGCCATATATGTGTTTGTTTTCTTTTTTATATTTATTAATACTAGTTTGTGGCTCATGATTACATTCGTCATCATGGGGAACTGGTACACGCACATGACACATCTTAGTTCCCTTTTCATCCCCTACCCCTCATTCTGCCCAGCTCCTTCCAACTTCTGCCTCCCTTTTCATTCTCAAAAGCTCTATTTCCATTTTTTCTTCAATTCTTGTTTTCTCATCTCCTTTCTCTCCATCTTTCCCCCTCTCCATCTCGTTCCCCCTCTTATTTGAAAAAGGTCTCCCTACTTCTTATTATCTATCATAGATACATATGTACCATATATCCCCACACTTTGGGGGGGTTCTCGTATAAGAGAAACCATACGATATTTAAACTTGTGAGTCTGATTTCACTTCATATTACGTTCTCCAGGTGCATCCACTTACCTACGAATGCCTCAGGTTTATCTTTCCTTGTGGCAGAGGACAAAGTGGGTTTATACACTGTGTGTGCTATTTTTCAACCTGCTTTGAAACTTAATTGGATTTTTGATAATACCAGTATGCGTGGATCATTGCGGTTTTTATAAAATCCCATTGAACAGACACTCTACATTTCATTAAGCGAATGCCTTGCTCTTGAGTGTAAGAGTGAGGTCCTCTTGTCCCAGCTTCTTAGTTTGACTCTAGTGGGCAGCTCTGAGGGCTGATGTAGGAAGACATCTGACAGAAGCACAGAGCAAGAGAGGGGCTGGGTGAGAGAAGAGAGCCAGAGAGCTGGTGAGGAAGGAGGGTGCTTAGGCAGACAGGGAAACTCAGACGCACAGAGAAGGTAATGGAAAGAGATGGAGCTACACGGAAAGATGGAGTCCAGAGCCAGAAACTGTCATGAGCTGGGGAAGAATAAGGGTCGCCCTGGGAGAGAGAAAGGCAAGGGAAGGATAGAGGAGTGGAGGGAGGAAGAGCAAGAGCTTCACAGGAAGTGGGAAAGGGGGAAGAGAGTGGAAGGAAGGAGGCTAGCGAGAGGAAGTAGGAGCCAGGGTGCATGTGAAGGAGCGGGGCAGGCAGGCAGGCGTGTGCCTGGGCGGCGGAAGCCTGCCCGGCCATCTGGATTTACAGCCCCGTCCAAGGAGATGAGTGCTTCCTTCCCTTCCCGACCTGGGCCCCGGCCCAAGATCCTCGGCTGGGTGATGAGTTTTCAAAACAGGCTGGAGCAGACTAACAAGTGGCCGTCTCTGCCCCGCCTGGCAGCCTCTCCTACATATTTCTCTTTGGCCCCAGGAGAGATTTTATCAGGGTATTTCTCTTCTCGGACTGATTGAAAATCGAGCTTGGCCTTTGCAGCCCACTGAGTACCAATTCTGGGCCCAGCGCTGCCTGAGATCCCTGTAGAATTGAGATCAGCTGTGAACTTTGGAGTCCTCCCCCGGGAAGCATCGTGGGGTATAAATGCTGCCATTTGGTGGACACTTCCTGTAGGAGCTCCACTTTTATCCTGGAAATGTTTTTCAGATGAGAAAACTAAGGGTCCGAGGGGTGAAGTTTCTTGACCAATGACGCACAGCTCGTCAATGCTGAGCTGAGTTGCAACTCCTGCACCTGCTACTGGAAGTGTAACTGACCAGGAACTACCCTGGCTTTGAAATCCATCAGCTTCTTAGGCTGCTGCCCCCCGTGATATTCAGGCTGGGGTACTGAAGCAAAGCCATTCCCGGAAACACAAAGATTTCTTGGTTGGTAGGCTTGGCCCAAGACTTTCCTAGTGGCTCTGCCGTCGCTTTCGAGGCCTGTGGCGCCATCCATGGGACACCTTCCCTCCCTCTCTCCATCACTGAGGGCCTCACTCATACCCTATCTCACGCCACACAAGCGTCTCCTCAGGTGAACTGGGCACATCCAATCCCATCTTGGCATCTGCTTCTTGGAGACCCTGTGCGAGCCGCCCCTCTAACTCCCAGCAGGTGCCTGGTGCTCCCAAGCCTGTCCTTTGCCCTCACTCACCACGGGGGAGGACAGCGGGCATCACTTTAGGGATGACTATTGGGAGATGGCAACATTTACCAGATTAATAATACCGTGTGGTCTGCTGCCCTGTGTTTCTGAATGGGAGTGCCTTTTCGGGGTGACCTGTGTATACACATGGGGTGAGGGGCTTCCATGCCTATCTGTTCCCAAGGCCATATTGATTTGTAATGATGACGTCCTGTTCAGCTCCAGGCTCTTGGTGGAGACTGCTATGTATCCACCAACATCAAGACCTCCCTTCCCCAGGACACACAGCCAATCTACAGGACTTCCTATGTGGCCTTAAGGTTGTGGGTGCATCCCCTTCCCTTGTGTCTTTGCCCCTTTCCACAAATGGGAAATATATGTGCCAGCAACCCAGTGGTGATCAAGCCAATATCCTTGGAGATGGCAGAGGAACAAGGTGGAAGCACCCCTGTGTGACCTCGTGAACCTCAAACAGCCTGTCACTCGGGAATCATCACCGTGCACTATTATACATGACAGCGTACACTTATATCTCACTTGAGCCACTGAACCATTATTGAATGTCTTTATTATGGCACCCTTCCCTCACCATAAATAAATAGAAATTAACACTGGCAATGGTATCCCAGCCTAAGAAAAACTGTAAAGTAAAGGTACCCTAGAATACTCAGTAGTTTTGGTGCATACAGGGAGGGTTCACATATTGTGGGCTGGAAAGTGGGCAACCCTTGTGGTCCCATGGCAAAGCATTTGGAGAAACCATTTTTATGACAATCTGGAAACCATCATACAATAACCAAGCCCATAGCTCTGAAAGAAGTGGATGGGAAGAGAGAATATCTGTACACCCTGCCTACTCTGTGTCTTTTAGCAAACTATTCTATGAAAGACAGACAGAGAAGGTATGTAGAACATGGGTCTTCCAGGGGTGAAAGCCACCCAGCTTTGGAACCCAGGCAGCAGGAGTTCAGACTGTGGTTGCTTAGAATCTTTCTCAAAGACCACCCAAGAAGGATGGAGGCCCTGGGAAAAGTCCAGTTGAAGCTTTTATCTTCCCACTCAATCATGCTATTTTAGAATCATGCCAAGGTAGCCAAAATGAGATCAAGAGGGCTGGGCCAGAGCAGAAAAGATACTAATCAATGAGGCTTCAGCACTGAGTGAGAAAACATGGGGATGGTTACTGGCACCTGGGACTGTCTGGAAGCACATTGTCCAGAATTCTTTTAAGCATTTAAGGGGATTTCACTGCCAAGGAAATTGGGAATAGGAAGTGGTGATTAGGATT